AGTCAGCCCCAACTATCATATCGTTCGATATCAAGTAACGTGTGAAATTTCTCAAATTTGTTTGCTATTGATATTTCATTTCGAATAAAACTTCATCTCGACTGATATTAGAATTGAGGTCGAATAAAATTGTTTTGTTTTTCAGAGATGTCCGAAATTTGAATGTAATAATAATATCGAATTTGATGATAATATTATGCAATATTAACATTTTCACAGATAACAAATTTGTTCTAACAAAATTGTTTATCTTTATGCTGGTCGTAATTTGCGGTTTTTGAACACATCGTACAGGGTAAATAGAATAAATATTCGTCTTTTGTAACGAAAAAAAATTATAATTTATTATCACTATTCCTACTTCTACACCCGTCCACTGAACTATAATGACGCGATTTCGACATTACAATCATTTTTTACGAAACGTGCCATACGACCATTCAGATGTGCGCGCGACACACTCAGAGCGCTTGCGCCGACGTCGGCGCATTCAGCGATAGGGACTTATTCCGGAATCTTGAGCGAATAACGGAGACCTGCACCAGCAGTGCAAGTCATTTTCCGTTCAATATCTACTACTACGTTTGAAAATAAACTGCGCCAAACTGAAGATAAAACCGCTGGTGTATACCAGTGTTGGGCGTTAATCAATTAAATTTCAATCAATAATTCAATCAGATTAAAAAATCAATTCATTTGAAATCAATTGCAATTAAATCATTTGCGACGCGTCGCAATTGCAATTAAAATTTTTAAAAATTATTAATTTAAAATTTTAAAAATTTGCAATTAAAATCAATTCCGGCCGGTTGGGGGCCCCGGTTGGGAACCCCGCTTGGGGGCCCCGGTTGGGAACCCGGTTGGGGCTCCGGTTGGGGGCCCGGCTGGGGGCCCCGGTTGGAGCCCCGGTTGGGGCCCCGGTTGGGGGCCCAGTTGGGGGCCCAGTTGGGGGCCCGGTTGGGGACTCGGTATGGGCCCCCGGTTGGGGACCCGGTTGGGGCCCCGATTGGGGGCCCGGTTGGGGGCCCGGTTGGGGGCCGCATTGTGGGCACGTTTGTGGGGCCTGGTTGGGGGCCCCCGGTTGGGTCCCCAGTTGGGGGCCCCGGCTTGGGGCCCCGGTTTGGGGGCCCGGTGTGTGGGCCCCGGTTTGGGGGCCCCGGTTTGGGGGCCCCGGTGTGGGACCGCCGTTTTGGGGCCCCGGGTTAGGGGCTCCGGTTTGGGGACCCCGGTTTGGAGGCCCAGGTTTGGGGGTCCGGTTTGGGGCCCCGGTTTGGGGGCCCGTTTGAGGGCTCCGGTTGGGTGGCTCAGGTCCCTTAACTGGCCCCTAACCGGGCCCCCAACCAGGTCCCCACAAACGGGCCCACAATGCGGCCCCCAACCGGGCCCCCAATCGGGGCCCCAACCGGGCCCCCCAACCGGGTCCCCAACTGGGGGCCCCAACCGAGTCCCCAACCGGGCCCCCAACTGGGCCCCCAGCCGGGGCCCCCAACCGGGGCCCCCAACCGGGACCCCAACCGGGACCCCCAACCGGGCCCCAACCGGGCCACATGGACAATTAATAAATTGTCAATCTTTAATTGCCAGAACAATTAAATTTTGCCCAACACTGGTGTATACCTATATAGAGAGATTTTCTCATGGCCTCGCAAAGTTTCATTTGATCACTAATCAAACAAAATGAATAAGGAACATAAAAAGCTAGATTCGGATTCTTTCCATGTTGTGCCAGGTTATCAACTTAATACATAAACTTAGAAGAACCAATAAACGAAGAAAATCGAAACATCACATGAACAAAAAGAATCTTGTATAAAGATCAAAAGGGCCTATCAACGCAATAGTGGTGTAATCCACATTCAATATTTTTTCTACAACATTACTCTAAATGATACTATAGTACATAATTTATATTTGGATACTATTTTCATGTACTTATAAAAAATACTCAATTATTATTTTTGTTTTCATACATAACAATGACATGAAATAAATAAAATTTAAAATTTGACATATTTGCTGCGTTGTTTTTTTTTTCGTTACTTTATTTTTTGTTTTACTTTTACTATCTCTTTTTTTAAATGTCTTTCTTTAGATGTATATTTTATTTTAATATCAAGTGACGAGATGAACAAGTCGTGCACCTGATGGTAAGCTGCACGCCTGTCCATAACAGTTGCAGTGCCACGCAGAGCTTAAATTGCAAAGATCTGAGAGGCACTATCACTGCGCCCGTCACCCTGAGGCATAAGTTGACAAGTCCCATATGACTTTAATTTCACCAGCAAACTTACAATCCGGAACGCAGTAATTTACTGCTTGGTAGCAGAAATAAGGTAAAGTGGCAGTACCTCCCTCGACGAACTCTTTCACAAGGAGCTCTACTGCTGTTCAAGCTTATATATACATTTTGTGTTGTTGCGTTGTAATAAATGAATTCTATTTTATTATATTCTAAAAATTTATAATTATGTAGTTACTTTAGAATCATTTAAAATAATATTGCACAAAAGAAAATTCAAGTCAAATCAACAGTAACGTAGCCCACATTACTGTTGCGCTGATAGCTTGAAATATTTTTACTAACATTTGTTAAAAGAAAACTGATTATAAAGAAAACCAATTCACTTTAATCTTAAAAGATAAAATGAAGCTACCTCGCTTAATTAAGAATCTTGGTATTTATGGAGTGTGAAACACAAATTAGCTCATAAAATTTTTTACAGCTGTGAACATTATTTGGTGCCGATAAATTTCGTGTCTCAAGATAAAAATAGAGTTGCGGCAACGGTTTTTTGTTGACTTTTCAATTTGTTAGGTAAAGGTAACAATATAGTATACAAGTAACATCGAGTATATAACCAGAAATAGAGACGAAATGCCATTTAATTTGTTTGAAAACTATTTTGCCCTATCATTACGGTGACAACTGCGCTACGATTGGCAAGCCCGAATTCGAAACAATTGTTTCACTTCAAATCGACCAGTTTAACTTGAGCTTCACTATAAAGGACGAAAACTGTAAAATTACATGTTTAATTACCGATGAAATGTGATTCCGTTTGTTTTGTAGTTAGATGTTTTGCTGTTGCCACACCATCGAATGGAACAGCCCCCATTGTTAGAGATATTATATTTATTACAATAAATACAGAATAATTTTGGAATATACGGAGACGTACACACAGGTCAGTTGTTGGCGCTGTACTATTTCAGTTTTCTAATTTGTGATTTCAGCGCAAAAGAGAGTTGATATTTAAAAGTGACATAAGGGCCATTTACTTAATGAGTTGCCAGGGATGGATGGATGAACTATTTCGTCTCTATCTCTGGTTATATATTCGAGTACAAGTAACTATTTATTTTATTTAATAAAATTTATACGTTGGTTAATGATAAGCCGCACCGTCAGGCGATGACAGGTTATGGGAAATCAGTAGACTATTTAGTGCAAACCGGACTGGTCTGCCCGCGCGACACGAACGGCCCAGTCTTATAATTCTTTTATAATAATTATTATTATGAGCTACAGAACGAAGCAGCAGACTTCATGAATTTTTATATGTACTTGTTGCAGATCTTTGCTTTTTGTTTTTAACGACTTTTTTGTTGTATCTGTGAGAAATCTTTGAAAGTTTTTCTTCACTCAGCCAGTTTTTTTTTTGTTTTTTTGTATGATGTCAAGTGACGGGAAGAACATGTCGTGCGCCTGGTGGTAAGCGTCACGCCTATCCATAACAGATGCAATACCGTTCAGTGCTTTAAATCGCTAAAATCTGAGAGGCACTGCCACTGCGCCCGTTACCCTGAGGCATAAGTTGACCCACGTGCCTATAATTTCACCAACACCATTGCAACAATTTGTAGAATACCGAGCTGATTTTTTCATTCTTGTAAAATTCTTGAAAATTTGTTAGTCTTTTTGGTGTAGAGAAATAGGCATTTTTATCACGAACCGATACAATCATTCTCTTGTACCAAGAAAAAACAGTCTGCAGGTCAAGAGCAGCTCTTTTTACACATTTTTCACACATTATACTAGTAAAACTTTGGACGACAATGAAAGTTAAAAAATCCGTGTTAAAAGACATATTTGTCATGTTTCAAACACCAATAATACATTCGGCATAACCGACGTTGACTTGAAAGAACTCAAGACAATGGTTTAATTCCAAATTTCGTATAAAACATAACCAAAGTTGTTGTAAGATAACATGATTGAATTAATATTCAAATGCTTCCCAGCTCTAGCGTGAACGGGAAGTATGTCAACAAGTTTCGATCAGCGGTTGGCCCTGTCGTTGTCACTTTTACAACAAAAACTCAACACCGACCAGTAAACAAGAGGAGATTCATATTTTTCTCATTATATATTATATTTTTGTAGCATGAGAACGTGAAAGAGTTCGTTTAGGGAAATACTGTCACATTACCTATTTCTGCCGAAAAGAAGTACGGCGTACAGGTTTTGAAGGATACGGGCGCATGGGACTTGTCAATTTGTGTCTCAGGGTGACGGGTGCAAGGGCAATGCCCCTCAGATCTTTGCGATTTAAAGCTCTGAGTGGCATTGCAACTGCTATAAACATGCGTGTCGCATACGACCTGACGCACGACTTATTCGTGCCGTCATATATACATATTACCCTTACTGCAAATCTTATACGATCTTTAAAGCTTACAAAGTAATGCGGTTTTACAATAACAGAACCGCTTTTAATCGTTGCTATTCTGCAAGTCTTTTTTTATAATATCAAGTGACGGGACGATCAAGCCGTGCGTCTGATGGTAAGCTACACGCCTGCCGATAACAGTTGCAGTATCCTCAGAGCTTTAAATCGCAAAGATCTGAGGGGCACTGCCACTGTGCCCGTCACTCTGAGTGAATAAGTTGACAAGTCCCATGTGCCTGTAATTTCACCAGCACCTTTCCCTTTCAAAACCGGAACACAGTAATGCTGACATTACTTTTTTTATTAACTTGTGTTCGAAATACCGTCAAAATGACAAATTGTGATAGTTGCCATAAACTTATTAATAAACGTAGCCCGGGAATAGTGTGTAATCGATGTGGAAAAACATTTCATCTTAATGCGGAGTGTTCTGGCCTCACGGCAAAGCAACGTACAGCATTAAAAGTCGCCAACAGCCTGGAATGGATGTGCAAGGAGTGCCAAGATCATTCACCCAAACGCCGCTCTGTGATCATACCGAACGACGACGAAGATGAGGAGGATGAGGTAAGCGTGGACTCCAAACCGGGGCTTCATATAAACGTTAAGCAATTACTCAGAGATATTTCTAAAGAAATGGAGAAAACAATCCATAAAGAACTTACTGATGTAACAAAAGCACTTGAATATCAAAGCGATAAAATGGACGAGTTAACGGAATCCGTCGAGGGCTTCAAGGCTGCTATACAAGAATTAAAAAAGAAAAATATAGAACTACAGAATAGAAACAACCATCTAGAAACACGTATAGGAGCCTTGGAACAACGTATGCAAGAGACGGAACAAGAAAAACTCTCCAAAACGATCGAAATAACCAACGTTCCTTGCGACCCGAAGGAGGTGATTTCCGAAGTGATAGCAAAAGTCGCGAATAAGCTACAAGTAACCAATGACGAAATTGAGGAGGTCAAAAGGCTACCTAGCAGGAAAGAACAACCAGGTATAATTTTAATAAAGTTCAAGAGTGAAACATCGCGTTTTAAGTGGCTGTCAGCAGCAAAATTGATCAAACTATTAGCCGAAGATGTAGTGCCAAAAAGAAACTCCACAGAAATGTGTACTAACACGTCGCACCAGTTTATCTACATAAGAGAGGCACTAACTCTTTACAATAAAAAACTGTTATGGCAAGCGAAGCAAGAACTGAAGGATGTCTTCAAATTTGTATGGTGTAAAGGTGGCGTTATAAGAGCTCGTAAAGAAGAAAATGGACAAGTTTTTATTATAAGAAATGAGGAAGATTTGCAAAAAATATTGTGTTGAAATAAAAAAGTAGGTAGTTGAACAATCTTTTTCAAATAAAAATGGCTATCAATGATTATGTAAATGAAATCCTGGATTGCAGTAATATTAATAACTTTACTAAAAAAGTCCCTACTAAAACTAACCTATTACTAATGCATATCAACATTAGATCTCTTATTAAAAATTTTGATGCACTAGAGCAGTATGTATTTACTTTGAGGAAATGTGTGGACATCATTATAGTAACAGAAGCAAATATATCCGAATCACTCAGGTGCCTATATCACATTAATGGCTATAACATGTTTACTAACTTAAGGAAAACACAAAAAGGTGGAGGTATCATAATATATGTACATAAAAAACTTAAATGTGGTGCAACCAACACAATAACAACACACTTCGAGGGAATTCACTTAAAAATCTTATCACACACGTACGCATCGGATCTACTTGCAGTGTATAGGCCTCCTAATACAAGTAAACCTCTCTTCATAACCGAACTACAAAAAACTATTCACAAATTTGATAAACAACATGACTTATTCATTATGGGCGATATGAATATAGATATAGCTGTAGATAAACCTATAAAGCATAAATATTTGAATGTTCTTTCTGACTACGGTCTTCTGACCGGGATCACCCAATACACTAGAATCGAAAGTAGAAGGAACGAAACGGTGAGCAAATCATGTATTGACCATATTTTTGTGCGATCCCGGTCACAAGATGTGTTCACAGCAGCGCTCGGTACTGTACTGGCCGACCACCGAGCGATAGCATTGGCCTGCACGGAGCCATCTCGTATACAGGCTGCTCCAAAATATAGAACGATTGTTGACTCAAATTTATTAAAGGAACAGTTAGACATGGTAGATTGGGGGAAAGCTAATAATATTGACTGCCCTATTGAAATATACAATTATATTAAAAAAAACCTTAAAAATTGCTATAACAACTCTAGTAGGAAAATTCATTATAGTACAAATAGTATACGGTCCGCAAATATATGGATGAATAAACGTATTGAAAAAGCCTGTAGGTTTAGAGATCAACTATTTGTGAGGTGGTTAGGAGACACATCCAATAAAATAATTAAATTAGAATACAATCAAGCAAGAAATTACGCAAATAAGCTCATATTAAAACACAAAAATGAACACATTAAATCAACCATTATTAATAACAAAAACAACACTTTTCAATTGTGGCAATTATTGAATTCAATAACAGGTAGAATAAAGGACTCCATTGATGACACAATTTTAAATGCCTTTGAACGGAGTGGTGGGAGTCACTTAGATATCGCCAACAACTTCGCAAGTCACTTTAGAGATACTGTTAAAAGCATATCTCCACCATGTAATAGTAAGCTTTTAAATGCACAATCATACAAAAGACCAGCCACTGTTACATTACGGCTCCAAAAAGCAACCAATACAAAAGTCGAGAAGCTTATTCAGCGCGTGAACAGTAAAAAAGCTCCTGGAATAGATGGAATACGGGCTATAGATCTCAAACGTATCAGCAAACAAGTATCTGAAGCAATTGCAAAACTAATCAACTCTTGCATAAAACATGGTAAATATCCTCCAGAACTCAAAACTGGTATAGTACGTCCAATTCATAAAAAAGGTTCTAAAAATGACTATGAAAACTATAGACCGATTACCATCCTTCCTGTGATTGATAAATTGGTAGAAAAGTTTATTAGTAATCAAATTCTTACTTTCTATGAATCTAATCAGATACTTAACAGTAAACAGTACGGATTTCAAAGAGGAAAAAGTACCACTCAGTTGCTGTCGACTTTTACTGACGACGTCAATATGCACCTTAATAATAAAAAACACGTATTGGTTGCTTTTATTGATTACAGTAAGGCATTTGACACTCTTCAACACAAATTGTTAATAGAAAAATTGGATGACTGCGGAATTAGGGGGCGTGTACAGGAGTGGTGCAAGGAATACTTAACCGATAGGGCTTTTTGTGTGAAGGTTGGTGATGCAACCAGTATTGAAGAATGCGTAACACAAGGCACAGCACAAGGGTCAGTACTTGGCCCATTGCACTATCTGACTTACGTAAACGATCTGATAAATGTTATTAATGAATGTGAGATATATCAGTTTGCCGATGATACTTGCCTACTATCAGCAGATGCGGATATAGAAATAGCTCTAAATCGTCTACAAAACGACTTCACCTTATTGTCGATGTGGTCGCATGATACGGGTCTAGTTATAAATCCATCTAAAACTAAGTTGATGTATATTTCTTCGAGCCAAAATAAATCTTCCCGTAAACTGGAACTCATTGCACATAGTCACACATGCCTGCACTTAAAATTATTTACTAAAGATTGCACTTGTAGTAGCATAGACACAGTCGACACTCAAATGTATCTGGGGCTAGTGATTGATAGTCGGTTTAAGTGGAACGCGCACATCAGCTACATCTGTACGAAACTAAGAGCACTTTATGCCAAATTCTCCTTAATTAAATACAAAATACCGTATCACACGCTGTTGACACTGTATAAGTGTTTATGTGAATCAATAATTGGATATGGGTTGAGCAGCTATGGTAGAACATTTAAAACTCACCTAGATAAAATTTATGAACTGCAAGTTAGATTCATCAAAACAATAGTACCTACTAAAATTAAATCTAATCTCAAATATAACTTACAGTTATTATTTAAACACTGCAAGCTTATGCCAATCCACACAAAAGTTAAATACATGTTACTGGTCGAACAATTTTTTAACACCGACTTACAAAAAACATATACCCACAAATGGCAGACCCGCGCAAAAACTAATGCTAAGCTCATAAAGTGTAAAACTAAGAATGAGTACGGTAAACAACAGTCTAGCTATTGTATTCCAAATCTTATAAATGAGTTACCAATTACACTAAAACAATGCCTTACACCAAAAAATATAAAATATAAACTTAAACAACACTTCATTGAAGAATTCACGGTATAAAGTTTCTAGTTAACTTTTATTGTAATGCGTCTAATTCAACCTGTATAACGAACACTAACACATGCCCAGGAATTCATTCTTTTGTTGGTTCCATCAATAGCCTCATTAGTGGTGAGATGTTCTGGCAAATACGCACGCACGCACACCGCTGCGCGGACGAGTGCATCATTCAATCGCACGGTAACTTTTTTAAAGTACCGCCGTAACTTTGACAAAATAAAAATATATGTCGTAAAAGTAAAGCTCGCAAAAAAAAAGAAAAAAAATAATTTGCAATTAGTTATTACTGTATTAAGTAGAAATGTAAATAAAAAATGAGAAACAATATGACGATGTACGGTAAAACCCAAAAGGGTTTATGTTACATCGTTTTAGTTCATAAGCTATTTGTAATCTGTTTTTTTTTTTTTTAAATAAATAATAATACTGCTTGGCGACAGAAACAGGTAAAGTGCCAGCAGTACTTCCCTGAACAAACTCTTTCACAACGAGTTCTACTGTTACTAAATACATACCTAATTGCCATGTTTAAACCTATATAAGTTTGGAGAATTTTGAATCATCGTCATAACATGGTTTTAAAAAGTGTGAAGCTACTTAAAAATAATGTTAACATAAAACTATTTTTTTTACAAACATCGAGTATATTAGACCAACACATGTATAAATTTCTTAAAAAACGTTCTAACCGATTTTTGACACTGCCAATGTTAGCACATCACTACTCTAACAGAATAAGTAATACGCTGCCGTTAAATGACGTTAATCGAATATCAAGTTTATGTAATAGTCTCAACTCTAGTTTTAATATTAGATACAAGCTAAATGGCATGGGAAACTATGTCAAAAGCTTCGATCGCGACCTAATCCGAATGCCTCTTCAAATGGTTTAAGGACCTACTTGAAAAACTCTATAAGTGGCAATTCGCACTAAAAAGTACAAAATTACAGTATACACTATTTTGATTTACATTAATTTAGGCCAGATTGGCCAAAAAGTAACAATAAAGCTCATTGTAAAAAAGTTCGTCCAGGAAAATACTACCACCTTACCTATTTCTGCCGCCAAGCAGTAATGTAAGTATTAACTGTGTTCCAGTTTTGAAAGATGAGGGGGCCGGTGGAGTTACAGGCACATGGGACTTGTCAACTTATGTATCAGGGTGACGGGCGCAGATCTTCACGATTTAAAGCTCTGACTAGCACTATAACTGCTATGTACAGGCGTGACGCTTACCATCAGTATCATAATAAGTATCATAAAAGAAGTTCTTGCGGTATCAGACATAAAAGACGTTTAAAAAATAAATCGAACTTCAGTCAATATTATTTATCGTTGTTATTATATATTGAGCATTGGCTCTATAATTACCAGTTTAAACAAGTATCTGAAGAACAATTAAGAGACTCAAAACCATCAAAACGCAATAATTAATAAACATATTTTAGACATTAATAAATAAACGTAATAAAAAAAATTAAGATATGCGGCTAGCAGCGCCCTCCTCAATTCAGTGTATTTACCAATCTGTCATTCATTGCTAAGACAACCTTGATAAACCTGGAAAGAGAACAAAGAGCTGTTCTTAAAGTCATCAACTTCCGTCCTTTCGATTACCCAACCCACAAACTCCTATATGAGCGCGATGTTCTCTCTATTCGGCAACAGTTTATCCAACAAATAATTTTGAAAACGCATTCAATTACTCCATTAGACTCTGTAACTTTAACCAACCACAGACGAATCGATACCTTTCCATCTCGTAGGTACACAACTCCGCACAGCACACTCGCATAGATTCTTTTGCTTCCTTGGTATATTCCTTTACTTTAAATTTAAAAAATTTAAATTCTACTTTGCATTATTTCGCCATGAATAAAATAGAATGTAAGATGAATGCCAAATCCTGGCTTAAAAGTAAAACTTACAATGAAACAGGGGGCTTGCTGGAAGTTGTTTCATAAATATTTTTATATAACCATTAATTTATAACTACTGATTCTTTTATTATAACTTTACTACGAAGATTGTATAATTTATGTTCCTTTGTTATTGTTTATTATAATATTATCATAGGTAGCTTTATTTACATTTGTTTTCGTCGTATTGTATTAGACTAAGTTATTGGAATAAATTTATCTTATCATATTTTATCTTAACACTAAAGTAAAAATTAATTTATGTAAAAATTCTTCTTCTTTTTGTTTAACGGCGCGGCGGTGCCATTTTTAGGATTTCGCCAGCGTCAAGTTTGTAAAAATTACTGTAACATTACACAAACGCGCCATTTTTTTCTGTGTACATTTTTTCATCAGATTTATTTCTTCAAACTTTAATAAATGTTTTTTTTTAAATGTCAATGTTGATTTACAGTCTTCTATATTATTGGGTAATTTTAGAATTACACGTTCACAAAAATTCTTGTCTTTACTTATAAAATACAGGTCTGTCATTTGATTGACTCTTCGATTGTAACTTCGATCGCCCATTGTCACTCTTCGACGTTATCAAATTCGTGTCCATTCAAAGTATTTTGTAAAGCGCGACACTTTTGTAATTTTGTAAAATATGAAAGAACTATATCCGGCGAATGGTTGATAAAGTAACACATCCAACCCTAACAGCAATTTTAAACAAGTTCTTCTTCTTCTTCTTTTAAATGTTATGGCCCCATCGATTAAACAAGTTAAAAAAAATAAAACAGGAAATTTTAACTCTCTGTAAAGATGTATGTGGTTTGGCATTACCGTAACACGACATTACTTAATATGACACCTTTACAATTCACTATTTCAGGACTTTTTCATGTATTATTTCCCGCCTATTCTAAAAATAGCCGCTAAAATATCATTTTTATAATGACCATAGACAATACAACATTAAAAAAAAAGGATTTATTATTCAAAGTTGCAAAAACTCTACGGACTTTTTCGCGAACCCATTATAAGAACTAAACTTTTCTTAAATTTCCACCATGAGGTACCTTTAGCTTTTAATCGACACATTGCTTTTATTAGAAAGTCATACTGAAAGCCGAACGCTTAACTTACGTATAACTTGGGTTTTCACGATTGCAACACATTGGAAATTAAATTATTTCTTCGGGTCTAAATCGCGTATATTTGTTTTTTTTTAACAAAACATCCTTTCCGGCTCTTTACATCATCTGTCATGGATTTTGAAAAGAAAACAATAGTATTTTATACAGTCGTTGCATAATGAAGGTTCATAAACTCGAGTAGCGTGTTTACTCGATACTTGTGAGTACTTGGCAAAGCCTCGTGGCTAAGTAATAGATACGAGATTCTAAGAGCTAATTATGTATTTATTGCATACAATACTTTTTCTAAGTTAATCATATACGTAGAGTTAATAAAATAATGAAACACAACCAATATTTAATGCATATTTTGTTAACAGTCCATGACAACAAACTCAAAACAAAGCCAAACAAATGCTACAAAACAAAAAACCAAAGAGATAGAATAGTTTTTTTTATAAAGATTTATGGCCCGGTTGCAAGACCTTTAGATCAATCAGAGTCGAGCGTTTGAATAGCGTCATATTTGATATTTTAATTAGCAAAAATACGACTTTTTTTTGAAACGCATTGTAATTTATAGTTCTGTGTACAGAACTATTATGAAATTTTTCAATTCAGTAGCGAGCATATGGTAGCGAGTAACATAGACAATAGAAATTAGATTCAGAACTAAAAAAGCGCTTTTGTGATATCGTTTATGACGTTATCATTGACCTATCACTAACAGTGAAGAAAAAATATCGTGATGAAACGTGTACATCGAAGTAGACTCGCAAGCCTTCAAAAATATGTGAAAATTCCAAAACGTATAGGGTGTAACCGGTCTAAGCTCTCTACTTAGAGGAGAACCGTACACAGCAATAGGACAATGTTAATGATTGGTTGCAAAAGTTAAATTATGATGACACTGAAGCTATACTTCACCCAATATTATGACTCAAGGTTTTGCTGATCTGTAGGATTACCATATATTTACACGCGCACACACACACACACATTCACACACACTCATTTTAAATGTAAGTTTTACTTTCTGTTTAAAAGTACAATTTATAATTAAATTCATCTATCTGAAGTTCAATAGTGTATAAGTCTAAAAAAAATCTTTAATTTTATATTTTTCATATTTTGTTTCTCTCTTGCAATGTTTAATATTTTTCTTAGTAATGCTATAATATGGTATGTATTATTCC